CAACCCTAGCGGCACATAATTACACTCTATACATTTAGAAGTAAAATTTTTGACTGGCTCACAATTTTGCAGTAGTATGGTGTATTTCTGTTATACATCTTTGAAATAGAATAAAAATTATTTATCGTAACTAACTCCCTGTCAAACCTTTGACTTATTATGACAAATATTTGATTCAGTATCTGTGTATGTGATGTAGTATCTTATAATTTTGATTCCCTACCTCAATAAGTTTTCTCACTATCTAATAATTTTATTTTACTATTTGTCATTGCCGTTCAGTTTTTCCTTTTTTTTTTAAAATCTTGCTGGTAGAAATGTGCCTCCGTAGAAGTAGGACAAGAGCTACACTGAACTTTGTGATGTGACAGTTGTAACAACAGTACTTAAAGTCTGCAAACCGTAAAGTTTGAGTGCACATTCTGACCACTTCAAAATCACTTTAACATTTTTGAGATTCTGTCTGATCAAACTGCAGATTGAGGACAAACTCTCTCCTTCTCCACCCCTCCGCCACAGCTCCATCTTTACTTCACAACCAAAGTTTCAAAGTCTTTGAAAAATCTTTTTCTCCTTTATCTCTCATCTCACCTTCTTGACATGAGGTGGGTATTAACAGGTCGTGTGATATGAGATCAGAGCTTTTTTTTACCTAGATTTACCTGCTGCTCGGCTCAACATCTGCAGCACAATAACTTAATAATTACATGACTGAGTTATCTGATAATGCTGTTTTATGCTTACAGGTCATGTTGATACTCATGTTTTATTTATTTTTGTGAGAGTTAATATATATTTGGCTACATATTCACAGTATGGGAATGGATCCTAATGATTTTGCTGACCTTCCCTGTAGTGCCATCCTCATGTCTAACTACTCTAAGACTTTTGTATACTGTGGGGTAATGGACATTGCAGCCTCTAGAAAATTAAGCCAAGTGTACAACTTTAGAATGACTATAAAAATCTCCGACTCTGTCCTCCATGGCTGTCCAAATGTTAGAGATAACCATTTTTAATCCATAACCATTTTATCCTTAAGCTTTTCATTGGTAATAACGTGTGCCCTCCGAGGCAAGATGAAGGCGTACACTTGAAAACATCTATCACAGCTGGCCCAGCATCTACCTCCAGCTGTGGCTGAAATGTCTTTTCTCAGTATCAGACATTGAGTCAGACAATCCCATTACAGCTTCCAGCATTAAGCCACACATTCAGGCCAATTTAGGTGAGTAACTGTCCACCATCATACTTTACTCTGCAGATGGGCTTTGGAGGCTCCATTTAAAAAGCGAAGAAGGTCTCAGTTTAAAAATTGATATAAAATGAGGGAGCAGGGGGTGGAAGCTTGTGCCTGTGGTTGGCGAAGAAGAAAAAAACCTTGTTGCTTAGGCTTGGAACAGAAGTTGTTGACAATATTTATTTCTAATTTCAACTGTTTATATTGCAGCAACATAATTGTGGTTTAATCTTGTTGTAGAGTTTCTGGCTCATGTTTGGATTACTATGGGATGTCACCACTGTCTCCTGTAAAATATGTTTATATTCTACATAATAGCCTAGAATATTTTCACCAGCAATGTATTTTTCCGATTCAGGAATTGTGATGCACCAGTATTACATAGTTGAATATACAGCCTTAACACTTTGAGACTGGGGACAGGGGTTTAAGTCCTACATCCTAACTGGTTAGTTTTAGGACAGGGATGTGCCTGTATCAAATTTTCACGCCATGACAATTGTAGCCAAAATATTAAAAGGATAGTCAGACTTTTTTGAAGTGGGGTTATATGGGGTACTTATCCATATCCAGTATACTACATACAGTAGAAGGCAGTCTATTGTCATACAGGGGAAATTCCACAGAGATTGGACGTGTTTTAATGCCAAAGAGCATTTTCAGCCGATTTACATAAACTTCTTTGTCATACGATTACTGTCTATATTAGTTACCGAATCCAACCATATAATAACTGTCTTCTTGCCTAAAACATAGCACCGTTCTGAACTATGTAAACAACTACCAGCAAGTGTTAGCTTGGCTTGATAAAATTTCCACACAGCAGGGTTAGTTATAACGTGGTGTTACAACAAAGCTGCCTATAGTGCTTATATTCAGTTTGAACTTAAAAGTAATGAATTACTAAGTAAAGTAATTTTTGTTACTTTTAAATATCTGCCTTCCTAAAGGAAAATATTCATGCTCACAATAGTCTTTTCTTTGTCTCATCAGAAATAAATCAGTTTCTTATTTGGAGATGACTAAATTCTAGGGCCGTAACGGTACATGTATTTGTGTCGAACCGTTTGGTACGCGACTTTTGGTTCGGCACGACCCTGTACCGAATTATTGGGCGCAGGATAT